AAATAAAACAATTGACATGTCAATGAAAACCGGCCCAAAACTAAAAAAGAAATAAATCGTGTTCTTAATAAAAATTCAAACATTGTTTTTTGTATAAAATAAATAACAAATTAGTGATTCCAATATCTGTAATAAAACCATGATCCTGTTTAAGCTATTATATTATATACCACCATGGGTGAATATTATGTACCTATATATTATAACCATTTTATAATACAATGTTAAAAATAGACAACCTATATATATGTTTGTGTCATTGACTACAATATTATGCATTAAACGAAATATGTTATAAAATCGAAAAAAAAACTATTTAATTCCTTAGGCCGAGGATGGAATAAGCCAAATGTACTAGAACTTTAAAGAAACAAAAGTATTATAAAAAAATATTAATTATAAAAAGCGTAATCTTTTCGTTATCATCACCATTAACACCTCTTTCCATATACCTACTGAATAATTCCAATAGCTCATCAAAGTGGTCAAACTTCAGTTTTTTCTAACTAACCAGTCAATTATGCAAATAAACAATAAAATAAAAAAATAAAATTTATTTTATAGACATTAGAAAGAATAACATTAATTATTCTGCGTTTGATGATCCCATTAATAAGGGTTATAACCACAGCACCTGTTTACAACGTTATTATTATAAACAATTGGCCTTTATTGTATCCAAATTTACTGTTTTAGTTTTACACAAAATTCGATTTAAATTTGTTCGCTCGTTATTTTGAAACTACCGAATATCGTTGTGTTTGCGTGCATTAGTTATATTTTTGTGGACCTGTCAACTTCCAGTCCATATGAGTAAATTATCTCGTAGATATACAAATAAGGAATTTTAATAAATCTACGAAAGTATTAATTACGTAATAGGTACCTACTTACTGACCTACCTACATTGCTGCAATTTCCAACACTCTCCACTATCAAAACTAATTAATTTTAAACTTTCAACAAATTGTTTTGAGTATCTGCAAAAAAATATTTGAAAAACGTTTCCGAGTTTCGCAGCAGTATTGACTCTAGTACGCAGACGACTACGACAACTAGATTTCATTTTGGTGAAAGCACTTTCCGGAAAATTGTCGAACGAGCCGATCGCCAGTATTTTGATCACGTAACAGGCCATTTTACGATATGCCACGGATTTATTTTACATTGCAAACTAAATGGAATTTGGTACACGTGCTAATGTTATTATACAGGGCTTAATATAAAGCAGGCATTTTCCGTGTTTCTGGTTATTCTCAAAGTCATTACAAGCCCGGAGCTGCTTTGGGGAAACACAAGATAAAATTATCGTATGGTTAGTCGCAAGCCCAGACAAACATCGCTTTCTGCAAAAGTAAAAGAAAACTCTGTTTCATATTATTTTCGTTGAACCTTGACGTGACTATAAGAAAAGAAAAACTAAGTAAAAAAAATATGTACCAAATATGTTCAAAAAATCGATTCAGTAGATAGATTGGGTCTATTAAATTACTAGCGGCAACGTCTTGAAAAACTGAAGCCACTCTTAGCTAACTATAGCCAGAGTCTAATGAGATGAAAATCATTGATACCTTGTTCAGATCAGTGGGAAACAAAGATTTAGATCACAATACAATGTTTGAATTGCAGATAAGTGATCTGAAATACGAACAATGTTTTTACTGGACGTGTTTCAATCAAATCATTGTGTGGGGGCCACAGAGCAGAGAAATTAAAAGAGTTTTTTGTAACAGTATTATAAACTATTTGGTAAGATATATGTATAGGTAGACTAGCTACTGTCAGTGCTCGGCTCATAGATATCGTAGCGCGATGTTTAATAGCCTTTCTCGGTAAATGGACTAACAAAGACAAAAAGAATTGTTCTATTCGAACCAGTAGTTTCGGAGATTAACGCGTTCAAAGAAATGAACAAACTCTACAGCTTTATAATATTAAGTATAAGCTTTATAATATATAAATGTACACGGGTGCAAGTGCACATTGATATATAAGGTTTTTTTTCTAGTTAGATATTTATTTTTAAACCCCAAATTATCTATGTCCGTTGAAAATGTTGCCACTGATCCTCAAATGTAGCGTGACTATTTCTTTTATTTCTACGTGTTTATCCCCTAAGGAACAATACCAACAAAACTTCATAGCAACTAATTGGCCAACTTCTGTACACTTTAACAACTAGTTGAATTATGTCCGGGGTCCGGACTGGAAAAGTTGTAAGTCTCTACCAAGTATTCGGATTTTCTCGTTCATCTTTAGCTGAGTTTACCATCTTGAATTCCCTAACAAATTGCAGTTAATGTAATCTCGATTTAATTTGCAAAACAAAATTTATTTACGGAAATGGACTATCCATTATAATCATAACGTGATTCCAATCCCTGATGAGAAGCTTCGTGCGTTATTCACATAGGATTGTACTCGAGTCGTATCTATCCTGGACATAACGCTGCTATACAGGATCGCATTACACCATCTGTTGACAGCGTAGTTATGGAATTCAAGTTCGATTGATCTTCGAGAGATTTTCCATAGCGGGCCGTGTTGAGAGGCCGACGGCATTGAGTTGTTATTGTGTGGCGAGGCAGTCAGTAGCGAGGTAGTTTGTACGATCGCGAGGTCGACGGCCGCGGCCGAGGGCGCCACGCGGGGTTGTGACACGGGGTTGCTTTCCACTTCCACCGCGCTGCACTCATTTCCGCATAAATACTACCGCCTCAACGTATCAAGACACCTATCGTGATAACCACATCACACTAGGTAATTTATTTTTGAGAAAGATAATCTGTGTATACACATAATAATTTCACCATACTGACATAATTTGTAACGTATCCAATATATGATATGTACAACAATACAACAGTAAGTTATACCCCCGTGACCTCTAACAAAATAAATTACCAGCTAAACCGAGTTCGTCCAACTAATCAGCAGAAACCAGCTCCGGTTAAAAGGAGAAACGCAATTTGAAGTTCCCCTTAAAAGTTTCGAAAGCGCAGGAGTGTGGGTGAAATAAAACAAAGGCAGGCACGCGCCCGCCGCGGCACTCATGCTGAGTGCTCTGCTTTGTGGCAGGCTGGGCGATACAATGCAATACGCGATACACACACTAACAAGACCCAAGTCTACTGAGCATAGCCAAGTAGGCTTCCACTGGCATACGCGTCCGTTGCGGAACCGATATTGTGTTACCTGCTGAATGTAAGGCCTCAACAATACTTTGCTGCTATACCTATATAGTTATATATACAAGATACACGATAAGAGTAATGTTTTGCCAATCAATTCAAATGTGATAAAGAGATAAAACTAAAACGACTAAAACGCATATTCAGAAGCAGTTTTTTTCGTACATACCTTTACAAACACATTAAAATTCTTTTCCAATAATCAATTTGTTCGGTCCAAGTTCTAAATAAATTGAACCAATGAAATCTTTCCAAAAAACCATTTCCACTTGATTGTTGGTGTCCTTACGGTCGACTGTGCAGCGAAGATCATTAGTGAGGTGAACACTAATGATCCTCTCGATCGGGACAGATCGCCGGAGGAGACAAGCCGCTCCATCGAGATAGCGGAGACTTCACCAAATATCGGATTTTCCGTGTCAAGAATTCATAACAAGAATTTTTCAAAAGCTCGCCTCAGGCCTTCCTATCACTCTTGACTTCTCAAGCTTTTAAATATTCCTCAATATCATGCCTTATTGATGAGAGATTTAAAAATGTAAAAGCATTTGCTTATTTTTTTTTTCTTTATTTTGACTCCACACTCATATTCAGTTTTTCCAATTAAATCTAAATTTTTCATAACGTAATTATACACCATTTTATTGGACGAAGTGTAAGCATACTATCTGCGGACAACCCTCTGTGCGCGGACTTATCGAGAGAATCCAAAAGAGCACTCTTCTATGTAAAGGGTTGCTTTGTGCCTCCACTAGAAGAACCCTTTTCAGCAGTGAAGACGTGCTTCCTTTAAAATATACCTATTTCGCTTAACAAGCTGATAAATTAATGAAATTGAATTATATTACGACTTTCTTGGCGATAATATTTCTTTGTCAGTCAGTATTCGTACAAAAAAATAAATTAATTACGATTAATCTTGTTCTGACATTAAACTACTTATATACCTACTGAGTATACGTAGTTTAATTAAAAATGTTATAAATTGTTTACCGGGTAGCTGAATGGACGCCATTGTTCACCAGACAGATAGGTGCCATAGAAACGTTACTAGATAAAATCACCATAATAGAGCTACATCACGGTTGATTGATACAAGGATGTAACTATATCGTTATCCTCTAATTCAGTTCTAATGGAACAGTTAAGGAAGCGCTCTCGAAGCGGGACCAGTCCTCGTGAAGGAAATGAGTTCAATTTACCATTATCTCGGGGAATTGAGTGGTGCGACCTCGCTCGCCACTTGTTATACTGACTTATTTAGTATGACAATCCAACTAGAAAACCATCACGGAAATTGCACGGTTGCAAATTGGGTTCCCTCTAGTGCTACGGTGACTTATTGAATCAGATTTTATTGAATACTGAGCTTTAGGGACGCCGACCTCCTGTTTTAGCTTTGTAGAGTCTGTACCCTCTTATTTCATTCTGTGCCTTTAGTTTATTCTATACAATTACACGCCTGAATACTTAGGGTTTTTATGTGGATTTTTTTACTAAAATCTTTTAGGTTTACATTTATTCATTTTATTCACATATTTTATACCAAAAACGGTGAGAAAGTAAAATACCCTTTAAAAAGGCCCCGTATGCACTGGGCACAATGTCCGTTGTGCTACTGGAAATATAGAATAAACAAAAAAGGCTGCAACATAAGGATCCCTTGGTGTTCGGATCTCCATAGAAAGCGTCGATTGCTTACCATAAGATGTTCCATCTGATCGTTTACCGTCATGACCCAAGAGAAATAACCATTAGACCCAGCATCACTAGAAGCATTTATGGTAGTGAAGAACAGTGTTGCTAAATATGTATGTGGTATGTTACAGCGGGTGTGACGACGTGCAGCGATCGTTGGAGCTGTTGGACCAGGTGCTGAGCGAGTACGACGAGGGTGAGCCGCGATCGCTGGAGGCGCGTGCGCAGGTTACGCCGGCCACGCCAGCCACCCCCGCCACACCAGCTACCGACGACGACTCCCCGCTCGCGGGACACACCTCCGAAGACGATGGATACATGAGCATGAACGGAAGGAGGTGAGGATAATTAAGAAACTAATGTTATAAAGAGGTAAAATTTATAAGTTTGTATGTAGGGGGTAAAGTCAAAGTCAAAAGTCAAAAATCATTTATTTCAATTAGACCACATTAGACACTTTTGAACGTCAAGCAAAAAGGAAAAAAGTATATAACAAGAGCTTTAAAATTAAGCGTGTCAGTCTGTCCGTCTGTCCTCTAGTGAAGCTATTTGCTCGTTCCAAAGTGTAGATTCCTAAGGAGAAGAACGAGCAAGAAACTCCATGGTCTTTTTCAATCAGTTTTACAATACATTTCCTTGTTACATCATTTCGTCGGTAATCTTTGGAACCGCTCGCGCTGGTCGGATTGCCAAAATTCTTTCACTGATAGATGGCTACAATGTTCCTGGCTACTATAAGCTATACAACATCACGCTACGATCAAATGAAGCTGAGCAGCTGGTGAAACCGCGCGAGAATAGCTAGTTAAGAAAATATGGATAAGACTTGTAATTATGCGTATTACATCTACACCACACTAACTATTGTACCATACTCATGATATTCTAAGGGAGTTTTGATTTTTAATCGAGAAATATCTGAACCGAAATACTTCGATACAATGCAACTTTTAGACTATCCAACTGATGAATACAGATGATACGGATTGGTTACCTTCGATTTTTTTTCTCGATATGTAGTATTGTTGTAATATCGTCATTTCAACCATAACTTACATACGTCTTACAATGTTTCAGAGCGAAGTTCGCGCTGGGTTTCCGTCCGACAGAGGAGCGCGAGGAGCCTTCGCCCCCGGACCCGCCGTCACCGCGCTCCCCACCCCCTCCTGAAGAGGCCCAGCGCATCATCTCTACGTTACTACCCAAGTAATTATGCTACTTTTTATATTTTCAGTTGAATTGAAGTTGAATTGAAACCCACCTTTCATCCCTACCACTATCAAGATATTCCTTAAATGATGCTAAATTTACACGCGATACATTTAATAATAGAAATTTTTTTGTTAATCGAATTACGTAATTACAATATTACACGGCGAGCAAGGATAGCTAGCCATACCAACCAGAGCCGAGCATACAGCGGCTCAAAGGGCCAACAGACTAAAACAGATGTGGCCCAATAGGGCAAAAAGATATTCAGTCAGGGTCGCGGGTCAAACTCAATAATTTACCGTGGCCTTAGCCTGAAGCAGAAGAAGGAAGTGGTTTTTAGGCAGTAAGACGTACCCTCCCGCCCTGAACCATAGAAGTCAACTATGATTTTCAAAAAGAAATATCTTAGACTAAAACTTACAAAGATCGATAACTTACAAGTCACCATAATGTTACAGAGTGTCACCAGCGAACTCAGCAAAGCGGACGATATCCGTAGAACAGCGCGAAGCCGAGGAGAAACTGGACTCCATCATCAGTGTCAACGGCATCACCACAGCTACACAAACCACTTTTGTAAGTAGTTTAATCCATTAGTTAGCCATCCCGAATAAGTGATTAAAAAGTTGAATTTTTCATACCAATTATCACAAGGATATGCTAGCCATGAAACAGATTAATAATAAAAACAAAAACCTTCCCAACCAAAGGTACCTACTTCGTGAATATTTATGTAGTGAAGTGGATTATTTCAAATCGCTGTCGTAAAACTAATTATGAAATAATATAATTAATATCTACTCTGTACAAATTTCAGCCAAAAACCAGACATCAAAGACCTTATGGATGGGAAAAAGACACGGAAGCTACCGGGTTTCAGCTCCAACAGCCACCAGTGCCCCCATACAGGTTTGCATCGTTGCAGCACGGGGCGCGCCCGCCGCAACCTGACACCGCATGGCTCCCCCCGCGACACAACGCGCCGCCTACTAACCTAAAGAAATCGCCAAGTGTGGAGAATCCGCCTGTATTCCCCTTCATGGGTTTCTCAAGCGAATTCAATGACAAACCATACAATGAACATCCAGTCACAATATACCCAGGACCAAACATACAATTCAAAAAAGAATCTCATTCACCTACATACAATATACCAAAAATTTCACCTTCCAACACGAAAAGTTCAGAGAGAAAGAGCAGTGTGAAACGCGACAGTAGGTCGGACGGTGAAATGTTATCACCCAAAGGGAAAATACCTCCCCGAACTCTCGCCGGTTCTATGGAGCGACATAGAGAAGTGTGTAGAGGATCTACGGAGGACATGGTTGTGAGCTGTAAGAGGAGAAGTTCAAGTAAAAGTAACGACGAAGAGCATTTTTCGGACGATTCGTTGGAAGAATCGTTCCCGCCGCCGCCGCCCGCTGTTACTACGCCTTCGAAACGCAATTCCATAGCATGGGAAGTGTCACTCGATGGTGATGACCCTCTACTTACTCCAGGGAGCACAAAGGTAGTGCTTGATGTTTTTATAATTAATACAAAATAAAACTACCTAAGAATGAGCTGCATTATGATATATTTTAAAATAAAATAAGTACTAAAATTCATTCGTTACGCTGCCATAACCCTAATATTAAAATATTCATTTATTTACAGGTAATAGGCCGACGAAGAAGAAAATCAGGTGATCAATCCCATTCTAGCACAAGCTCAATACCGCAAAGAGTAGATGATGACTGGGAAGAGGAATATTGGCCCCCACCACCTCCACTGACACAATGTGAATCTCTCATTTCTCCTAATTCTGATGCCGAACAGGAAAATCGGCGAGCACAAGACCTGGCTTGTGGTACATATGTTATAAGAAAAGGCAAAAACCGCAAGCAATTACCGAGTTTCAACAAGAGCACGGCTAGTAAGTCACCCACCAATCTACTTAATAGTCACAGTTTGAATAGAAGTCTAGATACTGACAAGTCTATTGACGGGTCGAGCATATCAATCAGCGGCTCTGGCTCAGTAGGCTCGTACAACTCCCGACCGAGTTCTGATTTAAGTTTGCCGCAATCTCGTTATAGTGTTGACTTAAACTCCAGACTGAGCCGTGAGCTTAACACTCCAAACTCTAGATATAGTATAGATCTCTGCACACCGAATTCTAGACTGAGTAAAGAAATAACATCGCCAAAATCTCGTCTTAGTTTAGATCTTAATAACGGGCCAGATAGATATATCACTCAGGAGTATTTCGGTCACAGTCCGAAAAGTAGAAAAAATACCAGTGATAAGGGTTCATCTAAAATTCAGAGCAAACTATCGCCACAAAATAGATTTTCAGACTTCAAGAAGTATTCATCGACTTTTGATAATATTCAGTCACTTATAAGAGAAGGGAAGGTAGAGGAGACACCCCCGACGGAATGTAACGAAACCGTCAATGAACTGACCACGGTGCCTCCGAACATGGTGCGAGTGGTGTCCCTGCCGAGCCTGGGCGCTGAAGGAGAGGGCAACAGCTCCAGCCGTCAAGCGCTCATCACTACCGTGGAGGAGGAGGAGGACGCTGACAGCGCCGAGCCTGGCTCCAGCGGTGACACCTCGCCACTCCGCAAAATCGAAAACAATATTAGCGCTATATTAAGTCAAGGTCGGGACCAAAAACATTTTACCCCATATATACCTAAAGACTGGAATATCCATAAGGATGAATACTGTGATGACGTATCTAAAGATATATTAGAAAACAATTTCCGTTATAGTTCTAGAGAGAGGCAAAAGAGACATGATATACAGAAATCGTCGAGTCACAATGAAATACAGAACCAACGGTCAATAGACCGGCGCGACCGTTCCAAGAGGTCAAACAGTATGCATAAATCCACGAGCGCCAAAGATGTTCCAGTTAGTTTGATGCGGCAACCGTCATCATCTGACTCCGCTGTCTCGAGTGGAGGGGACTTCCCACTAAATGTTCAAATTGTTGAGCACTCCTATAGGCACCCCCCACTGCCGCTTCCCCCGTCGCCAATCCTAGGGCATGAAATGGGTCCGCTGCCGCAAACCCCAGAATCGCCTAAATTTCCTCCGCTACCTCCCTCACCTGTACAAGAAGTTGAAGATGAATATACAGAAATTATGCAACCTTCAGAGAAGCGTCATGTGAAAAAAGCAGATACGTTACCGACACCAACGATGGAGTCAAGGAGAAGGTGAAATATATTTGCATTATATACGTGCTTACATGTATGTTGAATAATATGCAATTAGTAGGTCCTTATTACAATTTTGTGCTATTTATAGGCCTTCGGAACCCCCTGCAGTACCACCGCATCGAGATACCACAAACAGCCTAAAGACGCGGTCTATGGAAACTAGTTACAACAAAAACAGAAGAAGCAGCAGTAACTTCAAGACTGGATCAACAGACAGAAGAACTTTACCAACTGGTAAGAATTAACACCGGTTGCGTATTTGTCATTTCAGTAAAATATATCCAATTACAAGATTTTCTTAAAAGAAAACAAGCATTTATTTGCCTCTTAAAAACCATGACTAGCATGACTAGTAAGTCATACTTTTAATAGACCCTCCGTCTCCTTTATTGTTGTTTAGTGGAAATTACCCTATACAGCCAATAATATACATTTGTAAGGAAATTTAAACAGTGTCATTATACTTAAATAAATTACCTTTTTTATAAGAATTAACTCAATAGTCCGAGTCGTATCATCCCTAATGCAAACTAGATAAGTTCCTAGGGCGCCATTTTCCGGACACACGTACTTACCTGCACGCTTGCCAAAGACACTCACCAAGTTTAATCGACTCTGAAGACATTATCATAATGTGAAACTATTTGGAGACCTGCACGTCGATTCTATAAAGTTTGATTGATTTTGAATCTTGTTCGAGTGTGAAGTGAGCGTCGAAGTGACGGGTAAATTACATTATAGAATGCCACTTTTAACGTCATCTCATCGCTATCAAAATGTTGTCACTTTAGTTCAACTTGCAAGTGTAGCGCTAGTGTACTACTACTCACAGCGGATTCAGATTCGAAGTTTAGGATTAAATCTTACAGAATCACACTGCAGATTATCTCTACCGAAAATAGTAAAATAACATTACACTTACATTTTGTATAGCCTTTTCTGTGAGGGGAAAATCATCCACTTCTAGCCCTGGTAAGGGCGAGAGAGAGTTTCAGACTGTCACTGACTAAAAACTCCCTCCTTCCTAAAGGCAGAGGCCGCGGTACCTTATCGCGCTAGCCCTGCAGCCCCGACAAAACACTTCTTATAGCCTAGTGTTGACGCCGAAACGATCTTCTTTAACAGAAGCCAAATATTTTTTTCGCCTCCTTCGCCACTTCAGTCAAGCATTCTAGTGAGTTGTAATTTACATATACATGCTTACTGCATGTAGTGTCTCCTTGAGATCATTAAAAATCTCTGTTATTAAAATATGTTGTTATGTAAATAACATTTGAACCTGGCAAGTACCAATGTGACTTTTTCCGAGTTATATGTACTTTCTATGATTATTTAGACACCACTGACATACGGTGAAGGTAAACATCGTGAGGAAACCTGGACTTATAATTTCTAATTATAAGTTTGAAATCACCAACTCGCATTGAGCAAGCGTGGTGATTAATGCTCTAACCTTCTCCGTGTGAGAAGAGGCCTTTGCTCAGCAGTGGGCACTTATAGGCTGATGATGATGATTTTCTGCTGATGATTCGATAAATTACCATCAACACCCGTAATAATTTCAAATACAGATTTAAATTGCCCCGCCTTCGTGTTTATTTATCAAATAAGTATCTATAAAATTACATATGTACCTATGCAATTAAATAAATTCAATACATACCTAAATAGCGTTACATATTTTATCCCCTAAAGAGTAGGCAAACCAATATGATATTTTATTACCAGTTTCGCATGTCACATTTGTCATAAAGAAATCATTAATATACTCGCATTATTAGAAATAAGGTTAGACACCTACGTGAATTGAAAAACAAATCGTCTTTACTATTACACTAAGTACAGTTTGACAATTATTTTAGAACTCAATCAAAATAAACTTAGATGATTTCTACGAGAATATCAGATACTTTGTTATTTGACTAACTGCACTCATAATGGATCGACTTAGATCAAAAAGACTGTCTTACATTACAAGTTCTAAATGTAATCAATTTAATATTTCAGATATCGGAGCGAGCGGCGCTAGACGAAGGACATTGCAGAGACAAAATCGCGAAGCTACAGCCACAGGCCGAGGTCCCTTGCAGACATCTGCCAGCCTCCCTGAAACACCAGTATTTGCTCGAGGATGCGACGTTCCTCGCACCCCACCGAGAAACTCTACAGGACCCCCCAGGAACAATACAATGAACTCCATACAGTCTATAGGTTAGCTTTTTTTCGATTTATTTAACTCTAGACGCAAATAGAACATCCACATGTCGATCAACACGTCAACACACACATAAGAGTCAAGTCCAAATAGATAATTACGTTCGGGACATACGTAAAAGCATAATGGAATATTGCTTGTATCATTAATTATGTTGGTATATAAAATTTATTTATGGAATAAGGAAACTGTTTGATATAAAGTTCATCGGCTTCGTTACTAGTATAGTATAAACTTTATTATTATTTAATGTTAATGACTGATCGAAACGCAATTTAGTTAAAGCATTATTGTGTTTTCAGTTCTTTTTAGTAATGGCACAAACTAGGGAACCCGATGCGATGTGTACCCGTTGACTAGATTATTTTATTATTATAAATATCGAATAAATCTTCATAAAGTCTAAAACATGATGTTATGTAATTATCATATCTGTCTGCATTGGTTATCACTTATCATGAGGATAAATAAAAAAATAATTAATATATAACGTAAAGTTTACCTACCTATAGGTTTTAATATTTATACCTTATCTTTACCTCAACTTACTTTTTGGGAATACAGGTATAACGCCAAAAACATTTAACCCATACGATAAACTTATAAAAAAAACCTTTATAACGTAACCATTATTTTAATTTCATTAGCATACCAACGGTATAGTTATTTTCTATTAAGTATTATTAACAATACGAAGCAATAATACTTGTATAATTACAATCGTCCTTTACTTCAGTTACAAAACAAACAGGTAATTTGCATGTAGATAGTCCAAGTCGGGTAAATTGCCTATTAACACGGCAAGTACTAATAATACCTAAAAACTATAATCGTGGCATTCGAGGCTATGATGTCATGCATGGTGTGTGCTACGATAATGGAAATAAACATGGTATTGTTGTTCCCAGCGCTCATCATCCGCCATCTGTACTCATAGGCTACACACATCCTTTCTATAAAGCGACGACTTGATGCCATTCCAAGTGTACCCATTAAGGACACCTTCTATGGTCACCAATATTTTCTTGTCTTTATGATGTAAAATCTTTATGTATAATTAATAACATCTAAAGTTTAAAAGTTAGAACATCCATTAAATTGTAGAGAATTTTTGAACCATCATTGCAACCATGCCAAGGCGGTGCGGGTTAATAAAACTTGGTTGCCTAAGGACCTGAGTAGGTATTTGATCTATTTTTAAATGTTCATTATATGTACCTATGTAACATGTGTCCACGTTATTAAACTACCACAGATTATGTTGGTCGACAATTTTAAGTTTGATTTTCCTACAAAGTATCTACCATATAATAAATTCATTTCAAAATATAATCACACAATTGAAAGCAAACGCAGCTATGATAGTTAGTAGTTACGAAAGTACAAAACAACTGTTTCCCTGTCAAAACATATTATTATAATCCATAAATCTTTATGTGGATAGTTTCCAGCTATTCAAATTCAACAAATACCTTTTTCAAAATGGCGAGTACGCTAAAATTTTCGATGAATTTTCTACCTATCTAATCAAGTAGTAATAAGTATAATAACTTGGGTCGTTGTACTATTTTATTTTCAAAAAATAATTTACGTTACTAGCAAAATACTAGAACTATTGTATTTAGGTGTTTTTGGTTATTTTTCATTATCTGGGGAGCGATAACTTTACGTAAAACATTATGCATATACGTATATATACATATAATAATACAATAAAAATAATTCTGACAACGTTGGAGCCTTCCATGCTGACTTGCAACTAAAGCAGGCCGGATCGGCCGGGGATTGATGCAAATATATTATTAGTAACCCACTCATGATGCTTCGGGTATTGCGGGAGCTCTTAGACTATGGTAACCACTTACCATAAGCAATGCTGTTACCAGCAGGATTAACCCACACAGAGGTACCCAAGCAACACAATCCTCAGGGCCTCTTTTTATCTGCGATTTAATTTAGACACTTTAACCCGATTGAGGGAAGAGACCTTTTAGAATTATTCCTAGAGTTTACAAAAAAAATGTTTCAATAAACTTTTCATGGTTGTCTACAGGGCCTAGACAACCCAGAGCCCCTAGGCAGTTGCCTACTGTAGCTCTAGGTTGATCTTACCCTGGCTACTATTATCTGGATGTATAGTAAAAATATTGTAATAGGTCTAATGAATGTATTATTTTATATGCTTTAATTTATGATACAGGAAGCTCAGCGACGTTGGGTGGATATGGACGTGGCTCCGTGATGGGTGCTACGGGAGTCTGCACTGGAGCCGACCTTCTGCGGATGGGAGGACCGCCCCGAGGCTGGTACCCTCGCCAAAGACACAGGTGCAATTAAAATTTAATTTAAATGTTTATAAGAATTAGTTTTAGTCAGTCAGTGGCCTAAAAATTCTGACAATAGAAAAACTTAAAATACACCTAAAGTGTATGATGTTGTAACAAACCTTCGCTGAATTACTTCAGAACGGTTCAGGTTTTCGTTCAAACTAGTCTCTGGGATCTAAGTCTTAATTAAATCGCCAACGATTCTTTCTTGTCATTTTCCTATAGAGAAACCTAGGTACGATTTACAAAAAAGAAAGTTACCTAATATGTAAGTTGTATGAAATACTTTTTTAATGAATACCTCCTAAAAATTGCTGGCCAGTCATTTAGTTTTCTCAAGAAATAAGTATTTTTTTTTATGTATCAGCAACGAAGTAATTATAATCTACGCAGAATTATTATTTGCATAAAACAAAATTAACCATAAAGTATAGTAGGTACGTATGTATCATTGTAGAGAAAACCTAGTATCTATTCTATTTAATAATAAGGCAAATATGCAGCTGGACATAATAACAGGGGAATTTGAAATGTGTGATCACACATTAGGAGTTATAATTTTTTCCTCAATTTGAAAATACCACCATGCTCGTAATTGTTTTGTTTCAAATTAATAGACTTATTAGTTTTAATCGGGAAACAAATGCACAACAACAGCCATAAAAATTCCATTTCTTATATAGTTAAACTAGCTAATCTCGCGCAGTTTTACTCGCTGCTCAGCTCCTACAGATCGTAACGAGATATTTTACAGCCTAAAGCCTTCCTCGATAAATGGACTTATGAACACAAAAATAATTAAGTACCATATTCAATTCAAACCAGTAGTTCCGAAGATTAGCGCGTTCAAACAAACAAACGAACTCTTCAGTTTTATAATGTTTTATATTGTATAAGTAGGTACAGTCTAAGAAAAAAAAAAACGTAGGTACCTACATTTATCTAGTGTCTTTACTGGTAGTACATTGATATGTGCCGAGACTTTAAGACACATTTTTATGGACTGTGAATAAAGTCATATAGCTTAGAATGTATAGTCATGAAAATGCATACTGAACTATCTATTTTGAAAATATCTTATATTTATAATATTTCCGTCCCAAGTAAAGGATTTCTGCACTTTCTTTTGCAGAAACTAATAAGTAATCAATCAACCTAATTCATCTACTAACTGCCCTTTTCAACTCATTTCTGTGTGCAACACAGTGATTTCCATGTTAATGTTAATTTTTATATTTGTTATTAGTCTAATTTATATTAAAATAGATTGAGCTAAACTATGAGCATGTGTGACCACTTGACCGCAGACCACATCGAATTTCACTAAGAAACCAAATACATACATTTGTACCTAATAGTTCCTGATGTGATTTTTCATGGTAGCTTAATTAAATAACTAATACCTTATAAGCCAAGCTCTAATTAGCCTTCTAACAAATGTGCTTGCTGGCAGGCCCGCTTCAACGGAGCACCTGGATCGACTAACAACCTCGTCAAAGATGGCAGTGGAACACCCAGTGGCATGGGAGGGCAGTGCCGCCCGCAAACCTCTCACCCTACCACCCAACTTGACGCCAAAGTTCTTCCAGAAGTCACCCAGGGAGGCGCTTCGCAGGGTAACCAGCTTACTAATACGAAAAGGTGAGCTAATAATACTTAATACTTATTTCTATTTTGTTTACCAGTAGACATATGTAAAAGTGGGAGAACCAAGCTTCGGCACGAATGGGTCGGCTCGGCCGGAATGATACCACGGCCTTACAAAAAACCGGCGTGAAACAACTACAGCGTTGTGTTTCGATGTGTAAGTGAGGTAACCGGAGGCCCAATCCTTACCCTCTCCCAATTACTCCCCAAGACAAAAAAAATCTCTTATCCCCAAAAGTCCGACGCACTCTTAACTCGTCTAGTGCGGGTGACTTTTGGGGATAAGAGATTTGGAGATTTTAGTCTATATGGGCGCCGATTGCTTATCAGCAGGTAATCCGTCTGCTCGTTTAGATACCGTCCTATCACATAAAAATACATAAATTCCCAATAAAAGTTGTAACTGCACTCGGAACTACTACTGGAAGTATCCTAAGGATCCATTTCCGTACCATCGTATTTGATTAAGGTGTATCTTAGTCCTCCTCCATGTAAACAAATATCACTCCAAGTCGCAATCTACCTAGGAGCAGCAGTGCGGCTGCTTCAGTTTCTGTCAAAACCTGAAGATCTTGTATAACCCTCATATGATCCGAAAAGACTATTGACGGCTGACTTCAGTGAATTTTGAGAGGGTAGTGAATTATTGTTGAGCATTAATGTTGTTTCATTTCGCCAGTATTGTCGCTACGCTATTGTGATACCCTTCCTCATAGCTAATAGTATCAGTTCTATGATTACTAGCTTCGACTTTGGAGAGGTGCAGTTTTGCTCGGATGATACACATTCTCTCAATGTTAACCTTAATGGGAGCTTAGATGTTACTAGTCCACTTTAGCGGTAATACCGCGCTCATTGCCCACCGTAGAATATAGCAAAAAATTAATTTGTACCGTATCGTACCGTATCGTGAAGTATAGTTTATTTCATTGTGTATTTACTCCTTTCTATGTGACTGAACACCGGATATAGTTCGGACTGATAGGCTGAACCATATGCTCTTATGGATGTGTGGCTGTTAACTGTTTCCAGGCAATTGTTTTTTTTATCATATGTTCGAAAATTATTGTTGGTTAAAATATTAAAATATAAACTGACTCACGAATAGCGAGACTTTTTCGGATAGTCTGTTCCTAGGCATATTTTTTTGTCAGGGGAAAACCATTTAATGACTTCTCCCGCCAGGTTAGGCGAGAGAGTGTCAGACTCTTACTGACTAAAAACGCCCCCGTTCCTTCTACTGCTCTACCTATATTAATTTTAAAATCATAATTACTTTCCTCATAACTATTATCAATAATAACAACTTGCCTCTATGTGCCTAAATGTGGAACAAAAAATCGTCAACTAAGTGTAAATGGTCTAGCTTTACCCAAATAATTTGCAAAGAGAAAATGAGATTCCGATATGAACAGTATGAATGACATAGTTATAGTGCGGCTGGATTAAAATAGCTCTACCAAACATCCACCACGAGATTGCATTACATGCGTATATCGCCTACGCTAAATCGCGAAGCTTATGTAAATCACGAAAGCGATCGAACGAACATGAACCAAAACCCTGTAACAGACAGATCTCTAGTTTTAGCATCGTTTTATTTACTACATCCGTAGCTAATTATAATAATTTTATCGCAACCGTTTCAAACAAAGATTCAATTCAATCGTTTCCCCTTAATTTGTCATATCGTAGTTCCTCACAATTTCAACCGGACACAGCCTGTGATTATCTAACTAAATATTATCATCCTGTTTGTTTATCCCGTTAATTTTAGCTATTACAATATTTAGGTTCATTACATCGTGTTTACTCATTAAGTAGGTGAAACGATGTTTAGTTTTACTTTGGTTAATCTTATCATTAAATCATTAACTAGTCATCTTATAACGACTGACAAGTTTTGTTTAATAACACGTCCTACTGATTCACACTCGGAATCCGAAGGTGTTTCGAAGAGTGGGCGTTAGTACTACTGTACCTATTAGATGATAGAATGTCTATAAATAAAATTATAGTCAACCACTACCGAGAAAGATAGACATTCCATTGATAAATTTGTGCCACTTAGGCACAAATTTAAGAAATATAATGTTGGCCGTGAAACCAAATGTCAATACCTTTTTTTCTATCTGTAGATGTCATAAAAGAAGAACATTTGATGAAGACGACAGGCAGTTCTCTGATAAACCTGAACTTCTTAAACTGCGATCTCCAACCCGCCTGCTAAGCCCTAAAAATAAGCTTTAGACCTTTTAGTTTTTGATGAGTACAATTTCAAACAACAGCAGTAGTGTCAATAATATTGTTGATCCATATAACAATTGATGAAAGATATTTCCAATTATCTATCGAAGAAGGCAGATATTATTCAAATAATTGCAAATCATGATGGATCAACATTAAAAAAACAATTCACAGACACGCCCGGCGTCGCAAGGAACACATGACATCATTTAGGTATAAGTTTAAAACGACCTTAATAAGGTGCCATTAACCTAAAATTTGTAACTACCGATAAAATAGAATATTACATAACGCTAACACATTAACTACTTTGATTATTGCCAAATATTGTTATTATAGTAAAAGTGATTCGCATTGCTCTTGAACGTCCTCTAATAATAAAAGTGCTACTTTTGTTTTTCTTCCATCGCTATCATTCATTTGTCTATTGTTTATGGCATACCTACAGTTATTTTTAACCATTCTCTGTTCACGAATATTTTGTTAAGTACATAAGTATTTATCGCTGGGCCATTGAACCCATTTCAATGTTTTGTGAATAACGACATAGTTAAATTATTAAATTACCTAGTTTGATTTACTAATTGCATCTAAATAACACGTAAAGTTAACTAAATCTGTATGAAAGTCATTAAAAGAGCATAATGTTTATTAATTTTATTTATTCCAGACACATTCTAGGTTCTCTAATAGTATAATTTAACACTAATTAAGAATAAACATGCCTACACTAGCATTATCATGTTTTTGTTACAAAACCAGTTTCAGTTTGACCGTTATACATATTTCATAATTGTTGATACATAGCGCCGATAGATGGCGTTGGTAGTCTCAGTTGTTCGACTTGTTCGTTAGAGATATTTTGTGTGTGTGACTAATTGGCGCGCGGTACAAACAACCGCGGACGTGTCTAAATAGCTGTTTACTTTATGAAACATAAAACGAGAACTTACGTTATCGATTTAAAAGGAAAACACTGTTTTTTCTTGCTTTGTTTGAAATAATATACTTTAAAAAATACATATTGGGTAGGTACATGTCATTCTGTCATTTCAACTATTGACCCAATCTTAGTACTTTGTTCATTTATTGATAACTAATCTATTGAGATAAACCTCAACTCATATAGTACAAAGTACTTTGTGAGGCTCGTGTACATCAATAATGTTATAATTCAGTTCTCTGTCTGCGTCGTTGGATTCTGCGCACTTAGGATGGCTGCGTATTGAAGCATAATAGACATTCGTGTACCTATATTACTAATACACATATATGTAGGTGTATGTAAGTGCACATGTACCTACGACACATGCTTAGTGAAAATGTAACGCCTAGGTAAAAGGCTAAAAATAATTTCATTGTTTAATAACTTCGACTTATAGACACATACAATCCTTCGATAGGTACCTACATATAGGTACACAATGGCGTATAGCAAGGTATCTTTATAAAATATTAATTTGTAATGTTATTTGACAAGATAACAAATTAAAAAAAAATAGTTTATTTTACTAAACTATACAAAAGAAAGCGTGAAATGAAAGTGGACCAATGGAAAGTAAATTGATAAATAACTCGTAAAATTCCTAATGTGTGTCGATCACAAAATACTTCTTTAACCTTCCATTATTTAATGCTTTTCTGGCCTAGCGGCAGCTTATAGGCTAGAAGGCATGTACCTATCAAACCAGTACACTATAAAATGTAATGGGAACCACGGAACACTCTAAAATCTAGACCACGATGTTACAAAGGAACTAAAACGCTAGAATCTAGACAATTAAAATTTTATTAGACACAACGTACGGCAAGCACGAGCATGACTCAAGACATATGAATATATTCATAATACATAAACATAACAATTTGAATGGAACTGGTCTGTGGGCTTATAGAATCCTGTTATTATTACAATCTAAATAAACCAGCACATTCGAGCCGTGTAACAATAAGGCGTTAACAATCGCTTACGGGGACCTAAAAAGTTCGGCCGCACAATAGTGAATAGCATACAATGGCGATTCTGTTACCTGCGACATCAATATGTGCATAATAGTATGGCGAGGGCAAGGTATGGCGCTGTGCGCTGCAGTCCGTCAGCAGTGATTCAGAGCGCGCTCACCCTGCATGACTGTGCTGCGCCGGGTGACTCACCCGCCACCGCGCCACCAGCGCCAGGGAGGATGCCGATACACCCATATTCCGTGATTAATAGAGACGTGAAAGTAGATAATGCCTGACTCCATCATTATTTATTACTCACTCATAAATAATTACTTCTCAGAAAACCGTTTGTGTCTGATTATTCACACATCCGTCGTGACATGTCAAGTCCTGATAGCCGCAGTTGTTGTGTTTCTTTAGAACTAAATGCCTGGCATTTTGAGGGTTAGAGAGTAAACGATTCCACAAAGAACTTGGTCTTGAACCGGTCGTAAGTCGTTACCTAAGAAGGTAACCGGTCAGGATTTGAGGCCAAGATCGTAGCTCAGCGGGCGCGTGTGAAGCGCGACTCGCGGCTGACGGCTGTGCTGCCCTACATACGACCTCGCCACTCACTCGCCGCTATCTTCTTTATAAAACTTGGCCACGAGAATAACAATGATATCGAATTTATCGAGTCATTGAGTTAGGTCGTAAGGGGAGTCAATGATTCGTTTCTAAACATCAGTATTCCATGCATAACAATAGGTATGGCCCAAACGGGTTCTGTATGTCACATTACTAGGAATAAAATTGAAATGTACCTTTTAATAACCTGATGTTTTATTTTTAAATCATTCATGGTTGATAAGCCATGGTATTGGGTAAATACTATACCTATCCTATCTATATGACTTGGTGTCTTTTATTAGAAAATGCTGGAACAAATTTTCCCCTGAAATAGTTTGGACAGCGTCCAGCTTTCATTCATTGTGTATATACATTGGCATGTTATTTAAAACTTGGCTCAGTTTTCAAGGGAAATCCCTTTGGTATTTTAGTTCATCGTATTAAACTTTTATTTAAGTTGTAGGGAAAGCGCTAAAGGCAACTAATTTGTGATAACCACAACAAAAAGAATCACTTCTTCTTTTGAAATTTTGGCTATGAATTAGCAATTGCATTCAGACAAAGTGAAACGCCTTCAACCTGCTTCTCATATCTATTGGCCACATCCAATATTGATAACGTAATCTGATACGATACTATCACTGATAGCACCGTGCAATCAACAAACTTCACATCTTAATCAACGTTATCTGGCCCGGCTCACTCAACCTAACCCATATTTTTTTGTAAATTTCTGACAGTAAATAATATCAAAAAAATATATTTATATATAACTGATAACTGCACAACGCATTAGCGGCTGATAAATGTAATAATCTAGGTCTTTCGCGAAATATATAGCAAATACATAATATATAATACTATGTTCAACAATAACCATTATAGGTAATATACTTAAGCAGGTCAAGTGAGGACAAAACAGGAATACATTAACACAACAATACGTTAACTACCGTGGTATTTCGATCATTCCAATTAATTAGTCATATGTATTTACGTAAATAAACTATTGTATTTCAATTGATAAAAGACGTGGTCGGGAAATAATAGCGACATATCTAAATGGTTGCATTTTATGTTAAAATTGCTTTTCATTATTTTACACCGTAAAGCTGAGTTTTCCACTGCTATTCAAATTCTGCTAAGAGGATCGTTTCGGGAGCCACGAATTGCGTTGGCATGCATTGTCCTGCGTTCGAGACATGCATGCAAATGACGCCACATCCGTCTCCCAACGAATAATATATCCGGTGTATAGTAAGGCTCTTTAATATTCATACCTATAGCTGGTGGTATGTAGAAAACCTTATTGTCAAGCTCTTGTCTTTCTGATTTATCATTAAAGGATACTACTATAGTTTTACGTCTTGTTACAATTTGCGAAAAATGTAATAACTAGGCTAGGTAAGATTTAATGTTAACTGATTTTTTCCTATATTAGGTACCTACCTACCTGTTATTATGCGGAATCGTTCATTAACACATTTAATACAATCAATGTAAATTATATGCGCAAAAATATCCTTATAAATACACGGAGTTTTTTGAACAAAAAGAGGGAAACGCTTAGAGCCGGTGTCAACTAATCTGATTAGCAGAAATTGTTGTTACACGAACCACTTGTTTTGACACGCTCACTTAGTTTAGCTACATAGAAACTGTCTAAACAAACATTAAAATCGAGACACGAGCTTTTCCTAAAAGACAAACAATTTTACTCGTCAAACTTCACTAATTCAAGCCGGAACGCTGCTTTCATAGAATCCGGTATCACAAATAGATCTTTATACTTACGTTTAAAAAACGGTAAACATCTCAACACAGATTTTCCGTTATATTTTAAGCTTGACTTCTGTTTTGTTGAACGTTCTCCCAGTATTTAGGTCGGAATGTAACAGCCCAGAAAACATCATATGTCATGTTACCTTACTGAACCTACTTTAGATATTGGGTCTAGGGACCGTTATCAATCCTTTGTACATATACAGAGACAATTTCTTGGTAATATATCGCCATAACAACGGTGCCTAGTTTAAGTTACCTAGTGCATGAGGAATTACTTGATAAAACACGTCTCGAGCGAGGTTAAGATGAGTAAGCTCGACGCTCGGCGCATCCACTAACGTCCGTGCCTGCTATACTTCATGTAGCCGGTGTTGGAAAATATCTGTTGAATCTCAATTACGTAACGCCTTCACGAGCGACCTTCACCTTGGAGGCCCACTTGCTTACCAATACTCTCAGTGTACCAACTAAAACATTTGTAATGCCCACAACGTTACGCATGTGCGTCCGTTGCTAGGAACTCTCTGTATGTGGGCTGGGTACAATTCGTTTAAGCAAAAGTTAAACGACCGTCGAGTCTGTAGTCAGCAAATAAATCTTTATTAAAAACACCAATAAACATCAGTGTAGCATGCTAGTCGTTTG